TTTTTAATAAAGAAGGGGGAACTGTGGAGAGCTGCGATGCGCCACGCCAGAAGATGGCACCGTTTTCCGCCTTCCACCATCCCGAGGTGGAAGGTGGAAGGACATCTGAGCGCTCTCTGGAATAAACAACTCCTTATTTGGCTTGGTCTAAGATTCAAACTTGCGTCAGCAAATTCGAGCCTATCCGCCTTAGCCACGTGGCGTTCTGGGGTTGGCTGGCAAGAGTGCTTTTAAGCTGTGGGGGGCCTTTCCCTGGAGTCAGAAGATTGTTTCAGTTTCCTGAGTAAACTGCTTAAGGGAGAGTCTCAGCGTTGGGTCTTCCTTGCTGGTCCAGGCGGTCGCGACACTGACCACCTGTAGCTTTTCATCTAGAGGCGGAACCCTGTGGAATTGTCCCTGTTCACACTGGCATGTCAGCTGGTGATGTCATTCTGCTGCTCTGGTGCAGCAGCTATATTGTTGAAAACTTGTGTGTGGTTTCTCCATCATATGTAGAAGACACTCACAGCAAATGGTCTGGTCTTCTGGCTCTTACACTCATCCCCCTCTTCTGTGACCCTGAACCTTGAGTCTAGGGGTTGTATTGGGAATGTATTAGTTCAGGTTGGGCACCCCACGATACCCTCATATTTTAAAATGTTTCTGGATGAGGCAGCATTTACTTGCAGTCTTAGCTACTCAAAAGGCTGAGGCAGGAGGATCATTTGAGCCCACAAGTTCAACACCAACTGTCCTGGATAAATAAGATGGAGCAGCCAATTCTTCGGACAGTCTAGACCCACACAGATACATCTAAAGGAAAACACAAGCTGTCCTGTTCCAGCCTCGTGCTCTAAGCAAGGAGTGGGCCAACCAGTCTTGAGACACGGCTTCACTGTGCACACACCAATGGCAACCATTAAACAAAGTTGCAGTTTGGTGTTTTCTCTATTTCTGTTTTGTTATGCTGCCTTCAAGAGAGCTGTCTGAACAGTGAGACAAACTACCCAAAGACTAAGCAAATCCTTCCAAACTCCAAGCAGTGTAGCTTGAATAAAGATTACACATATATCTTAGTAATTTTTAAGCCATGAAATATAATAAACTCACTACTGGTTCTCTATATAAAGAAAGGTAAATTTTACATTGCACATACAAACTTTCTTGTGGGTGGGCAGATACCATGGTGTTCTAAAAAACTGACTTCTCACTGTGGGTCAGTGTTGCTAGAAAGGTAAGGAAGTCATTGGCCTAATGTAGTAGCTTCATGGTTTTTATTTCATAAAAATGACAGCATAAACCCAGCCTCAGAGAACAGAATACACTATTTAAAGTTTCAACAGTGTACAAAATTACAGTTTGGACATCTGATCCCAGGTTTAACATGAGCATTATCTTATAAGACGATTTCTTTGCTTTGGTAAATGACTTATTGGGCCAGGGAGAGTACAGTTGGGAAAGTGCTTGCCTTGCAAGCTGGAGGACCTGAGTTCAAACCCCAGAGCCCCTTTAAAGAAAGCTGGGTGTGGTGGCACATGCTTATAATCTCAGCACTGGGGAAGAGGAAGTGGAGGCAGGCAGATCCCTGGGGGTTGCTGGCCATCCATCACCTACATGGCATGTTCCAGGCCAGACAGGGACCCTGTCACAAATAAAAGTGGTGGATGGACGGTGCCTGGGGAACAACACCCAAGGCTGTCTTCTGGCTTCCACACACGTGTACATACACACACACACAGAGCATATTAGAGTTTGTATTATTCTGGAAGCAAGTCGTCTCCTAACTCTTCATCAGCAAAATCATCCTCGTCGATTCTCTTTTTGGCTGCTGTTTTTGGTCTTTCTATTTGAGGGCCCAGGGGATCCACATAGGAGGCATCTAGGTTTCAAAAGAGATCGTGCCATTAGAACAGAGAAAACAAGAAACTTGAAAGCAATCTAGACTTAGTCCAAACCCAATGACTCAGAGTGAACAGAAACAGCTCTTCCATGTCTGTGATTCCAGTCTGCACATGTTAGTTCTCAGCAGTTCCCAGGACACACTTGCCACCTCTGGGTCTTCTTTAGACCAGCTGTGCTGGAGGAGCTGGGCAGGGGGGACCAGCACTTGCCTATTTCTTTGTTACTGCTACTTTCATAAGGTTCATCTGTCCCAGGCAAAGCTCTGAGCTTGGCACTCAGTCGTTCACTTTTACTACTGGCACTATTGCTCTGGCCACTATCTGAAAACAAAAATAAAAATTCATTTGTTTAATATGCCAAGGAACCAGGACATCACATTGCACATCTCAAATCATATGTGTTTGCCAAGTAATACGAAGTCCGTGTCATCAGAAGCTGACTTCTAGGGAATGGAATTCGTGTTTGAAAGAAATCTCTTGTTGGAAATCTGAACATATATAAAATACCACTTGAACATCTGCAACCTGTAAATGTGGGCTAACTTACAGATTTCAATTTACTTATTTATTTAATTGTTTTTTCTAGACAGGGTTTCTCTGTAGCTTTGGAGCCTGTCCTGGAACTCAAGTTGTAGACCAGGCTGGCCTCGAACTCAGAGATCCTCCTGCCTCTGCCTCCCGAGTGCTGGGATTAAAGGTGTGTGCCACTGCCAATTTTATTTTTTACAAGTATTTATTTGTGTATGTGTCTATGTACACTTGCCAGGCATAGATATGGAGGTTAGAAGACTTGTGTGAGTAGGTTCTCTCCTACTATATGGACCTTGGGATTGAACTCAGGTCATCAGGCTTGGGGACAAGTGCTGGCCCTAGGTTGCAATTTTAGAGAAGTTGTAAGAAGATGAGCGATTGCTCTGAAGATTACAACTGGGAAGGAAGAGCATCTGAAGGATGGTGCAAAGTCAGCCTCATCTCAAGGCTGGCGAGGTGCCCTGGAGGCGCAGCACTAGGTTGTTCACTGGTTTGTTTGTTTGTTTTTTGAGACCGGGTTTCTCTGTGGCTTTGGAGGCTGTCCTGGAACTAGCTCTTGTAGACCAGGCTGGTCTCGAACTCACAGAGATCCTCCTGCCTCTGCCTCCCGAGTGCTGGGACTAAAGACATGCGCCACCACCGTCCAACTAATATCTGTATTTTTTTCTTTTTACTTTTCTTTCATTTTTTTCAAGACAGGGTTTTTCCGTGTAGCCTTCCTTGGCTGCCCTGGAATGCTCTGTAGACCAGGCTGGCTTCAAACCTGGATCCACCTGCCTCTGCCTCCTTGAGTGCTGGGATTAAAGGTGTGCACCACCATATTTGGCTCAATCCAGGCAGTTTTATTTTGTTGTTTTCAGAAAGGGACTCACAGTGTGGCCCTGACTGGCCTGAACTCATTTTTCATCAAGGCTGTCCTTGAACTTACAGAAGTCTTCCTCCCTCCAGGAGGGCATTGGGATCAAAGGTGTGCAACACCACATCTGAACCAGTAATTTTTAACTACAAACTATTGTTTTGATTATTGTTGATGTGTATGCATGATGTGTGGTGGGGAGCTTTGTGCCATGGTTCATATGTGGAGAACAGAGAACAACTTTCTGGTGTTGGTTCCCTCCTCTTACCTTTACGAGGACTCTAGGGATCAAACTCAGGTTGCCAGGCTGTGTGGCAAGTACCTGAAAGGTTCAGGTATTAGGCTGGCCTGCCCCGGTTACCTGGCAGAATCCACTTGGGCAGTACCCTGGTCAGTCCAGGGTTCCATGGGAACGAAGTCTGCACACAGGTGTAAACGACCCCTTTTAAAGACAGATCCCTGCCCACTTACGCTCTCTTCTCTTCTCTCTCTTCTCTTACTTTCTCTCTCTTGCCTTCCTCTCTCTGTTTCCTCACTCTCTATCTCTCTGTGTCTCTGTCACTCTGTGTCCCTGTCTCTCTCTGTGTCCCTGTCTCTCTCTGTGTCTGTGTGTGTGTGTGTCTGTCTGTCTGTCTGTCTCTCTCTCTCATCTCTTCCACTCTCCCCCTCCCCCACCTATAATAAACCACACTCTCTATAGTTTGTGTTTCATCGCGCCGGTGCCGGCCCCATCTCACAGCATATTTTTCTAATTTTGAAACTTTCACAGAATCACAACAGTACCATCACCTGATGAGCTACCACACTGGTGGTGTTTATTTCATTTTCCACATACATACAAGTTAGCAACAGAAGCCTGAGATCTCCTTTAGGCCCTTACACTCTCCTAGAATCCTGATATGTAATTCTTAGTCATAGAAGATTCAAAGTCTGTGAAAAAAGAAACCGTTAAGGAAATGAAACCTGAGTTGGGTATAGTGGTACATACATGCTGAAGTTCCAGCTAGGAGTTGAAGGTTATACTCAGCTATATAATGAGTTCAGGGTCAGCATGGGACACATGAGACCTTGTTGCAAAAACAAAACATTATTAACCAAGCAACCAAACCCTTGACATCCTTTGATAAACTTTACTTGTCCATTTGAAAACTGTGGCTGGTGTGGTGGCAACCACCCTTACCCCCAGTACTCCATAGGCAAAGGCAGGTAGATCTGTGTGAGGTCTAGGCTAGACAGAGCTACACAGTGACACACTGTCTGAAATAAGTAAATAAGCAAAAAGGAAAAAATTGAAAAGCAAAATGACGTAAGTCTCACTGTATTGCTTAGAGTGGTCTCACACTTCTGTGGGATCAAATTAACCCCCTGTTTCAGCCTCCCAAGTAGCTTGGGCTATGGGCAGATCACCATGCTTGGCCCATATTACAGACTGAAGGGTATGCTATGACTACCATTGGGCACACATAGGTTAATAAGCGTGAGTGAGTCTGGGTAGATTTTTTTTTGCTTAAATAATAAAACGAAAGCCGAGGAGATATCACTTGGTAAAGTGCTTGCAGTGTAACAATGAGGACTGACCACTCCCTAGAATTCACATTTAAAAAGCCATGGCATGCTGTCAAGGGTTTTTAATCCCAGCACTTCGGGGGCAGTGGTAGACGGATCTGAGTTCAAGGCCAGCGTGGTCTACAGAGCAAGTTATAGGACAGCCAGGGCTACACAGAAACCTTGTCTCTAAAGGAAGTTTAAAAAAAAAAAGTCAGGGGTTAGGTAGGCCCAGGTAGTAATCCCAGCAGTGGGGAGGTGGGAAGGATCCCTGGAGCTCATTGGCCAGTCTAGTCTAGCTGGCAGAGCCTGAGCCAATGAAAGATCATGTCTCAGAAAACAAGATGGATAGCTTCTGAAGACAATGCGTAAATGAGCTCTGATCTCTATATATGTGTACACAGAGTTGTATACACATGCACACAAAGAAACAATTAAATCACTTTTATAAGGATATACTCATATCAAAAAACCAGTAACTAGCATTTCTGAGAGAAGTTATAAGTTCAGGAAATAAAAATATGGGGAATAGTTCTTCCATCCATGGCCATGGCTGGAGAGGCAGACGTCTGTACTGTGCCTTGTGTTACCTCAAGTTTGTGAAACTGGTTTTCCTGCTGTGCCTTGCCCTGGGTCACTCCATTCTAAGTACAGATGAAGGGGCAGGATGACCCACAAAGCACAGACTGATAAATAAGTAACTTCCTCCTAAGGTAAGAAGGTGCTACTCTGCAAAGTTGTCGAGTGTCCTGAGGCATGTGCATAGTAGAACTGTCATACAAACTAAGTCCTTCCAGGACTCCAGAATGAAGATGGGTGCAACACTATTGAGTCATACCTGTCACTGTAGCCTCCGCCAACCTGTCATGTGACCACCTGGTTTGTGCATGGGACCAACAGGCAGAGAACCTGGGACACCTGTCTGTGTACCTCTCCTCCATGGCCTCCGTGGTTGTGCGTGTGCACTTCTGCAGTGACCTGACCTTGCTGCATGTCCACTTTTGCAGTGACCTAACCTTCATCCTGTTTCTGCAGATGGGGAGTTTCCAGAAGCTTCTCCAACAGGGATGTTTATCTACCTCACCTCTTCCTACAGACTCTACATCTCCATCAGCCTTCTGCCTCTGCTTCTAGGAAAGCCTCTTTGAACTCTGTTGTGGCCTCCTTAACTCTTCTGTAGTCATCTTGTAACCTACATATCCATGCATGTAGACATGCAACTGTGGGGATAAAAGAACTCATGTTTGCCCCAGCCAGCTCCTAAGGGAATTCAGAATTACTTGGTAAATTGCAGCCAACCTAACAGATGTGAATTTGTCACTCAATTCTGACATTGTGGAAAGACACGAGTGTGTCTGTCTATGTTTCTGACATAGTACACCCATGACAGTAACCCTGAACCCAAGCCTCCTGAATGCCGTCACACAATAATAGCTGTCTGGCCGAGAGAAGGTATACAGTGTGGCGCATGGACCTTCTTTAGATGCCTTTCCCCACCGTCTGCAGTTCCAGCTCAATAATCTGATGGACTCTACAAAATGTGGCTGTCTTGGTAACAGTAGCTGAACATTTGGACAAACTAAACATGCATGCTCTTTCTCTGCCTTAATTTCAACCCAGCTTTAACTTTGGAACAGCGCTGGCTTCCTGGTCCTTGCCAGCAAGGCTACTGTCTCGATACACTCACAGAAGCTCACAGTAGTTTTGATCTGACTCTATTCTGTCCTGGTAACCAGTTGTAACATTTCAGTGTTATTGTTTTTACATATGCACCCCTTTTCCTTGTGACAAAGTGATCCTTAAAGACATTTTTTAAGACTAATTTTATGCATATGAGTGTTTTGCCTAGGTGTATATATATGTACATTTCAAGAATGCCTGATGCCTAATCTCCTGAAACTGGAGTTATGGATGATGTGGACCAGCATGTGGGTGCTAGGATCTGAATCTGAGTCCTCTGAAGAACAAGTGCTTCTAACTCCTGAATCATCTCTCCAGCACCCATGACAAAGTGATCTTTTCAATATAGGGTCTACTCACTAAACTAAGTAAGGTTAGGGGGCCTAACTATATACACTTCTACCACATGTTTTCTACAAAAAAAAATGAATTCAATTCCCAAGAAAGGCAGTCTTTGCTTATTTAGAAAGAATACGCTTCCCAATGAGGCAAGTAATCATAGAGAATAACTTGGGCTATGCACATACCCACCTCTGAACAATGCATCTAGCAATCTGTTAGCAACCAAGGACCCCAACCTGCACAGAGCTGTATACATACTTGCTTTAAACAAGAATAAATTTCTCTCCTGAGCAACCCTTTGATACTTCTTGGTTTCACTTGAACACATCCTAGAGTACCATCTGGGAACTACAGGCAATGGGCCAATTCGCCCTAGGCGGTTACGTGTACAAGTAGGCAAACTGTGTCCTCAAAGTGAACTTTTAAAGAGAATTTTCTACTTATCATCTTATGCCTGTGCATAATTTGGGCACACGTATGGTTAAAGTCAGATGCATTTTGGGAAGGGGCATGTACAGTGAGCAGGGGCTTATGCAATCCAGACTTGCCAGTCAAAAGAGAAACACCTAAATTACACCCATTCTAACCAAACTCCCCCTAGAGTTAAACTCTGGAAAAGGAAGTCCCAAAACAGTAATTGGAGCCCTTGGAGTACCCTCAGTTGGATGGCCTGCTGTTACTCTTGACAGTGTTTATCTTAATTGTTCTAGTTCTTTGCTTTAGTTTTCTTGCTATTCTGTAATCTACATGGGCTTTAATTTCATTTTTAAGTAGGAGGCTAAGAACCTGGAAAAACCTGGCTTCGTCCTTGCCCACTGGTAACATAGAATGAAAATTATTTACTGTGGATGGTAAACTCAAGGCAGGAAAAAAATGGTGAAGAGAATATAAAATGCAATGCAATTCGTTTTTGTTAATTTTCTAAATGCAGTTCGTTTTGTTAATTCTAATGGTTAGAATAAGATTGAGTGTTTGTTTGAGACAGGGTTTCTCTTTGTAGCCCTGGTTGTCTTGGAACCCACTCTGTAGACCAGACCGGATTTGAACACACAGAGATCTGCCTGTCTCTGCCTCCTGACTCCTGGGATTAAAGGCATGTGTTATTCAGCAAGGTTGAGGTTTTAAAATCAGATTCAAATGCACTTTGCCCAAATTGAATCCATAAGTAATGAAAACAAGAACAAAGCACAGATAGCTTAGCCTTCAAGCACCAGTGATGGTTTGGATTGTCACAAGTACTAAGGACTCTAAAACACCCAGCACAAGAGGAAAGGACACAGCACTTACTCTGGGCACCTGATGGCCCGAAGGTGCCTTTTATCTTAATATTTCCATGAAGTCATATCCATAAAACATTTTAAACAACCAATAACATTCCTTGCATTTTTCTCATTTTATTGATTTCTGGGCACTTTCTAATGAACATTATTACTGTACTCTGGCCACACTCTGGAAGTTGTTATGTTAAGGCATCCAAGTCTTAGGGCTCCTAAGGGCTTGATCCCCTCTCTTAAAAATAGCTAGGAAGCTTGATAGCAGATCCTGTCAAGGGTAGGTATCGGGGCTGTAGTAACTGCCACAGGCCAAGGAAAGCAGAATTACATTTGGGGCTATGTCTAGTTACACTTCATTTATCCTTAGTGTTTTCTACCACAAATAATGTGCTAAATATGTATTCTGTCTGCATCCGGGTCTCTCTTCTCTGCAGAGATATGTATGGGGACACGTACACATTTGTAAGGAGGCCAGAGGACAACCTCAGATGTCATTCTTCATCATGTGCTTTGGACTTTGTTCTTTAGAAACAGTTTCTTATTGACTTGGTAGTCACTGGTTAAAACAGCTAGCTCACTGGCCTGGTAGTCACTGGTTAAAACAGCTAGCTCACTGGCCTGGTAGTCACTGGTTAAAACAGCTAGCTCACTGGCCTGGTAGTCACTGGTTAAAACAGCTAGCTCACTGGCCTGGTAGTCACTGGTTAAAGCAGCTAGCTCACTGGCAAAGCTGCAGGGAGGGACCCTCGTGTCTCCACCTCCCCAGCACTGAGATCACGAGCAGGCACTGCCACACACAGCCCTTCATGTGGGTTCTGGAGATCAGATCTGGGACCCCTACGGCTTGCATGGTGGGTACTTTACAGACTGAGATATTATCTCTCCAGCCCTGATTATCTTTTAAGAAATAAGACTCCCAAATTTAGTAAAAAGTGGAATTCTCCTATTTTTAGAGTAGCAGTATCTCACCCATGGTGGTAGGGAAGATAAACATGAAAAAGAAACCATTTGTCATTGACTTGAAGACAGATTGGCGGTAAGAGGTAGAAATCACATCTTTTTGTTTTTGGTTTTGTTTTGTTTTTTGGTTTGGTTTGGTGTCTTTTCAAGACAGAGTTTCTCTGTGTAATAGCTCTGGCTGTCCTAGAACTTGCTCAGTAGACCAGGATGGCCTTAAACTCACAGAGATCCATCTGTCTCTGCCTTCCAAATGCTGGGATTAAAGGTGTGTGCCACCTTTGGCCTGATTATCTTTTAAAAATAAGTTCTATTAAGGACATGGACATTTGACTTATTATTTTATGCATGTGGGTGTTTTGCCTGCATGTATATCTGTGCACCACCTGCATGCCTGGTACCTACAGAGAGATCAGAAGAGAGTGCCAGATCCCCTGGAACTGGAGTTATAAATGGCTGTGAGCTGCCATGTGGGTGCTGGGAATTGAACCCGGGTCCTCTGAGAAAGCAGCCAGTGCTCTTAACTGAGCCATTTCTTCAGCCTTGAGGGCAAAGACCCTTTAAAGGTCTTGGTGAACATTCCCAGCCCTCTCCAGCAGGGAGGAGCACTTTAGACAGTAGGGTATTCAGTTCATGAAGACTTCACATCCTGATGGGCAAAGTGTCATGGACCTAGCGCTGGTGTGGAGGCAGAGGCTGGAGCATTGCTGGAGTTTTGGGCCACATAGCAAGTTCCGTGATAGGCAGGGCCTGGTACACAGGGAGATGCTGTCTCAAGAAGCAAACAAAAAATAAAGCCACTCAAACTCAGAAACAAAACCAAGGAAAACAAAACTCCTGCAGCCTGACACCCTTAGGATCTTTTTAAGGCAATGCTAATTTTCTGAGTTAGCTGGCCTGTCTTTCATGTCCAGTGAGGCTGCACGTGTTAGAAGACAGTGTATCCTATCTTGACTCCCTGAAACCTGCCCACTCCTTAGACCACTGGATGTGATTACTGCCTGAAACTGCTCTTACCAGGGCTACACTGGCCCCTTAGTTATCAAGAACCAACTGATCAATCCATACCTAGTAATTCTTCAATCCTGCCTTTCTCTTAAGCTAAGAAGCCTTTCAAATGCCACCTAGCAGCTTCTTGTTTTTGAAAGAAAGTGCCTCCTAAAACAAAGCTTTTCTAAAAAAAAAAATAGTCTGCCATTCATCAGAATATGTCATGCCTATTCATCCGAATACATCATAAACACAATGGCTATGATCCTTCCAAATCTGTTCTTCAAGGATTCTCCCTTGTAAGCTGTAACTCTGATTTCCTGAATCATTAGACATTTTAAAAGTTGTTTTTGGTCTTTCTTCTACCCCCAAGATGATACTGATATAAAAGTAACTGCAAAGACACAGTCTTGCGGTGTGAAACTGTTTGTATATAGAAATGCTGAAGCAGACGGACACTCATCTTTACACAGCAATGGCTATGGTTCCCACCCTCCCTCTTCTGTTGATCTAAACATACTATGCACAGTCAACTGACACAGGGAGACTCTGGAAAAGCTGACCCTGCCAGCTACAGTTACTTGCACCACTTGCGAGAGGAGTGGGAGCCTATGCAGGGATTCAATAAAGACGTAAGCAAAAGAAACAATATTTTGTTTCTGAGACAGGGTTTCTCTTTGTAGCTTTGGAGCCTGTCTTGGAACTCACTCTGTAGACCAGGCTGGCCTTGAACTCAGAGATCCACCTGCCTTTGTCTGTCCAGTGCTGGGATTAAAGGTGTGTGCCAACACTGCCTGACAATTTATTTTTAAATCATATTTTGAATTTCAAATGTTTAAGTCCCTGGCGTGTGAAGTGGATCTGGGAGGGAAAGGCAGGGCACTGGCATTTACTGAGTGCCTACTATGGTTAGGAGCTTGCATGTACTTATTTGTTGGTAGAGAGGTACACTGCGAAACGGTGGTACACACCAGAAACCCCAGCACTTGGGAGGCTGAGGCAGGAAGATTGAAGGCTGAAGGACAGCTTGGATTACAGAGTAAGATCTTCTCTCTCTCTCTCTCTCTCTCTCTCTCTCTCTCTCTCTCTCTCTCTCTCTCTCTTCTTTCTTTCTCCTTTCTCTTTCTTCCTTTCCCCTTTCCCTGACTCCCTCCCTACCCTCCTGTCTTTCTTGAGACAGGGTTTCTCTATGTAGTCCTGGAATTTGCTCTGTAGACCAGGGTGGCCACCTGCCAGCCTCTGCCTTCCAAGTGCTGGGACTAAAGTCATGTACCACCACACATGGCTCAGCAAAACCTATTTCAAAATACAAAGAAAAATAAAGCTAGGAAGATCAGAAGGAAAACAAGGGAATAACTGGTAAGTTTGTGTATTGCTGAGCAGTGGTGGCGCACATCTTTAATTCTAGCAGTTAGGAGACAGAGGCAGGGGGAATCTCTGTGAGTTTGAGACTATCCTGGTCTACAGACCAAGTTCCAAGACATCCAAGGCTACACAGAGAAACCCTGTCTTAAAAAAGAAGTTGGTGTGTATGCATGTGCATACAATAGATATACAAAAAATTTACATTTTATGTGCATGTGCATACAATAGATATACATAAAATTGCATCTTGCAGGGCTGGCAAGATGTTTCAGCAAGTAGGGATGCTTTGCCTCCAAGCCTGAAAATCTGAGTTTGAGCTCTGGGGCGTATGTGGTGGAAAAAGAGAACTGACCTCCACAAGAACAGGCATGTCCATGCATGTATGCCACCCCCCCAAATAAATAAATGTGATTAAAAAATAAAAATAAAATACATATACAGATGGGTATGTCTATTTATAGGTGTGTGTGTGTGTGTGTGTGTGTGTGTGTGTGTATCTATCTGTAAATTAAAACAATACTATTGTGTGTATGGGCACACATGCCATAGCACATGTGTGGAGATCAGAAACAACCGTGGAGTCAGTTTTCTCCGACCTCCACCTGGATTCTGGGGATTGAAGTTAGGTAGCCTGCCTTGCAATGGCAAGTGCCTCTATACCTCTCTAGCTGTGACAGTTAACTTGACACCTGAAAGGCGAGTGTCTGGGTACCCTGTGAGAAACTGTCTGGATTAAGGTAAGCCTCT